CACTAGGACATCGTGACGATTGCAGAAATAATTTTAGTAATCTAAAAATTCTTACGTTACCTTCTCTGTATATATTCAAATGCTTGCAGTTTATAATAAACAATAAAATTCATTACCATAAATTAAACTCATTTCATAATTACGACACCAGAAGCCACATAATATCGTTCGAAAAAATAAGACTATCTAAATCCCAAAATTTTTATAACTATTACTGTATAAAGTTCTTCAATGTTCTCCCAAAAGATTTTAAATGTCTTCTTCCTAAAGTTCTACTAAATAAATTAAAGACCTATCTAATTAAAAAAAGTTTCTATAGTACTGAGGAATATCTGAACAATAACTTTAGTGATATCTAATTGTAATTTAATTTATTTGTTTCTAACTCATGTTGATAGGATCATAAGAATTATCTTTATTATTTAAGTTTAAGTTTGTATGAATAATTAGTACATGTAGAAAGTATACTAAGTTTGACATGTGCAAAAGTACGTTGTATTTATAGCACGAATAAAGTATTATTATTATTATTATTATATGAAATTTTTTAGTTGATATCTCAAAAAGAAGAAATTTTTATTTTTTGATAAAAACTGAAAAAGAGTGTTTTATAACAATGTATATACTGAAAAGAAATAAAAGTTTTTGGCATCAAACAGTTAGGTTGCAAATAACATTTATTTCAGAATCTTTTAATTTCAATTTCTTTAAGAATGTGAAATATTTCAGTCTGTATCTCAAAAAGAGAGAATGCTTACTGAAAAACAATTTTTTCTTACTGTATCTAGTGAAAAAAATTAATTAAATTATTGCTTTATGCCGTGATGTTCAAAATGACTTTTTTTCGGAACATTTCATTTCTATTTTTTCTTTAATGTCAAGCGTTTCTTGGCTAATATCTCAAAAAAGACGATTTTAATAGTAGCATATTTGAAAATGTCATTAATTATTATCAATTTATGATTTATTAAAAAAAATTACAATGTGTATAATTGTTGTAAACCTCTGTTTCCTTTTGCACTGAAACAAAAACCCGCGCACTCTGAATGTGATCATTAGAAATTAGAGTAGACGATGATGTTTCCAGAAGCAAGAAAGACAAAGACGACGACCAGCATCACAAAGAAGGGGGCAAAGCGGCATCGCAGAGCTGGAAGAACCTCAAAGCCGTTATGGCGTACTACCACTCGCTGCGCAAAATCAAGAGGTTCATTCCTAACACTGTGCAATTTTGTAATTCTTTCCTACAGTTGATTCTATTCAATGTTTGGTGGTCTCATCTCCTTTGCAGACTCTGTAGGAGCTGTAATTCTCTAGACTATCTCTTTGTTATTTACCATAATCGGGGTGTTGTAGATTTTTTAGGGGTTTGCATGTTTTCGTAGAATCACCGATTTTAAGGTTACCAAAACCGTAAAGTCGGTCCTGTGCCTGTTTTTCAACTATTTGTTAGGTTGCAAAATACAACAATTGATGTTTTTTTTGTGAAATTCTAGTTGTTGGTATTGTTTTCCCTTCCAGGACGAAATCCAACCAACGATGGATGAAATTGAGGACGACGGTACAAATTTCATCTGCAATGCAGAAGGTAAAAAAATTGTTGAAATTTTCAAATCCGTGTCATTGTTTTGTCAGAAACCGCCTTTGAAGCGTGAAGACTCCTTTTTGAAACGCTTCTCGTCGCGTCAAATCCCCGAAGCGCAGGAAACCGTCGAAGACACCGGCAGTGAAGGCCCCGGTGGCGACCCCCACTCAGCACCTCGCCGAAGACGACGTCCACGCAAACAACCACGCTCCGTCGTCAATCCCGACGAAAACTTCTACTTCTATTGGCTGTTGGTGCTGACCGTTTGTGTGCTTTACAACATGTGGACTCTAATCGTTCGCCAAAGTTTCCCCGAGCTCCAGACGATGGTCTCGAACTTTTGGTTGAGCTGTGATTCTCTAAGCGATCTGGTGTTTATTCTGGATCTGATAGTGCAATTGAGGACCGGCTACTTGGAGCAAGGCCTCATGGTGTACGACTCCAAGAAGTTGGCATGCCACTATTTGCGCTCACGTGCCTTTCTCCTAGACCTGGCTGCTCTTTGTCCTCTTGATCTGCTTCAAATTAGACTTGGAGCACAACCGCTGCTCAGGTGTCCGAGATTTCTCAAAGTCTATCGTGCCGTTAATTATTATTATATGGTCGAGTCGAGGACGGTGTGGCCGAATCTATGGCGGGTTGTCAACTTGATACATATACTTCTTATTTTAGCGCATTGGTTTGGGTGTTTTTATTTTCTACTCTCCGAAGCCGAAGGCTTTCAGGTAAGAAATTTTTGTTTTTGTTCTATTTTGTTTTGGTTTTTACTCTTCTCTTGATTGTTTCTTATCTTTTCAGTCTTAAACTTTTTTTTACTTCAATTATTCCACTCCTTTAAAAATGTGTTTTCGACTTCTTCGTTTTTAACCTATTTTTGCAGTTATAGTTTCTTGCTTTTCTTTTTTTGCTTCTATAGAATAGAAAGATAGATAAGATATCTCCTCCATCACTATGCAGCCTGGTGTTTTATGTCTAGTCTCACTCTTCTATTACTTCTAACTTCTTCTGTTTTCTTTATTCTCATATTTTCGCCTTCTGATCAAATTATTGAACATTAGTTTCCTATATCCAGAACTGTACCAAACGGTTTTTTTAAATTCCTACAGATGCGCCAGAAATCGCGCCCCAGAGAAAAATTTTAAGTAAGGTAAAGTACCAGGAACATGGAAAATATGTTTAAATTTTGACATTTATTTTTTGACATTTGACATTTTTTTATGTCTATTTAATGACACTGATGATCTTGTATATGTTTTTTTTCAATTATTTAGTAAATGGACAAAAATTTTGCCAATAAAAGACACAAATAACATTGAACTGAGTTACAATTTAGGATATATCTTCCTTATTTCCTCTTTTAATAGCCTATAGGAAAAAAACTTGGAAAATTATTTTTCCAACAGAAATAAATAGAGTCAAAGTGCAAAATTTAAACCCTCATAACTTCGAAATTTTTATAGATATTTTTTTTTAACATTTTTTCCATGTTCCTGGTATCTTACCTTATATGGCATTTTTCTCTGGGGCGCGAGTTCTGGCGCACCCTGTATATTTTTGTTTTAGAATTCTGCCTTTTTTTGCTCTCTGTTCTCTTCTATTCTTTTTTTATCTTCTTTACAGTTTTCGTTTTCTATAGATTCTTTTCCTACTTTTAATTTTGCTTTTCGGTCCGTTAAAGCGTTTTTACGTTTTTTTTTTCAGTTTCTAGCACCATTTCATAATTTGTTTCTCCGTTTCTATGTATCTGACTTGTTATTTCTATTCTCTAATTTTTCTCTTTTGCATATTTTGGCTTTTATTTATGTAATTTTATCACTCTTTCTTCTCTGCATATATATTCTTTGGTGTTTATTTCCGTTCTCTGCGGATGCCTTTCGTTTCTTGTATTTTCTTTTGTAAATTCTTCACTTTTTTCTTCTTTGATTTTGATTCCTCTTTTTGTCTTCTTTGTATACTCTTTATTTCTCTCCCATTTCTTAGTTATTTCTTTCACTCTTCGTACTCTAGTTTTTTCTTATAATAATTTTTGCTTCTCTTCTTTTTTTTCCTGTTTCCATTTCCGTCTTCTATCTTTCCCATAAATTCTTCACCTTTTTGCTTAGCGCACGGCTTATGCCTTTTTACGATAATTACTGTCTTTGTCCTTTTTTCTTCTTTGTTTTTCTTTCTTTTTTCCTCTCCATATATTTTTTACATTTTCCTTCTTTTTGTTTTTATTTCACTCTTTGTACTTTTATTTTTTATAGTAATTCCTGTCTCTTTTCCTTGTTTTCTTCCCTTTCTTTTATCTCTCCATACACATTCTTCATTTTTTTCTTATTTTTTTATTCTTCCTCTTTCATTCTTAAACTTTTTTTTACTTCAACTATTCCACTCCTTTAAAATGTGCTTTCTACTTCTTCGTTTATAACTTATTTTTGCACTTCCAAGTGTTCTACAGTTTCTTGCTTTTCTTTTTTTGCTTCTATTCTTATCTCCTCCATCACTATGCAGTTTTATGTCCAGTCTCACTCGTCTACTATTTCTAACTTCTTCTGTTTTTTTTTATTCTCATATTTCCGCCTTCTGATCAAATTATTGCACATTAGTTTTCTATATGTACAATTGTAGGTACCAAACGTTTTTTTTAATTCCTATATTTTTGTTTTAGTATTCTTCCTTTCTTGCTCTCTGTTCTCTTTCTTCTATTCTTTTTTATCTTTTTTTTACAGTTTTCGTTTTCTATAGATTCTTTTCCTACTTTTAATGTTGCTTTTTGGTCCGTTAAAGCGTTTTTACGTTTTTTTTTTTTCAGTTTCTAGCACCATTGCATAATTTTTTTCTCCGTTTCTATGTATCTGACTTGTTATTTCTATTCTCCAATCTTTCTCTTTTGCATATTTTGGCTATTATTTATGTAATTTTGCTTATCACCCTTTCTTTTCTGCATATACAGGCTGTATTATGAAAAACGCCCCAAGCCATAACTCCTTGTTTTCTTTCCTTTCTTTTATCTCTCCATACACATTCCACACTCCAATTTTTTGGTGATTTCTTTCACTCTTTGTATTTTTCTTTTAGTAATTTCTGTCTTTATTCTATCTTCTCCATACATGCTTTAGTTCTTCTTTAATTCTTGATTATTACTTTCACTCTTTGTACTCTTGTTTTGTTCTTGTAGTAATTCATCCTTCCTTTTTTCTTCTTTCGTTTCGTTTCTTCTATCTTCTCCATAAATTCTTCACTTTTTCTCTATGTCTTGGCTTTTGTTTCATTCTTTGTATTTTCGCTTTTTTTCTTGAGGTAATTTCTGTCTTTCTTCTTCTTATTTCCTTGTTTCCTTCCTTATGTTTTTTCCATACACTTTTCACTTTTCGTGTTCTTATTTTTTTCTTATAGTAATTTTTGCCTCTCTTCTTTTTTCTTATTTCCTTTCCTTTCTTCCATCTTCACTTTTTCACCATTTTTTCGTACTATTGTTTTCTTTTTATAGCAATACTTTACTTTCTTTTTTTTGCTTTTCTTCTTTCTTTTATCCGCTCTATATGTTCTCCATTTTCTTTATTTTTTGTTTTTTTTTCAATCTTCGTACTTTTATTTCTTTCTTATATTAATCCCTGTTTTTTTTCTGTTTTCTTTCCTTTTACCTTCTCCATACATTCTGAATTTTTTTCCTATTTCTTGGTAATTTCTTTTACTTTTTGTTCTCTTTTTTTAGTAATCATTGCTTTCTTGTTTTGTTGTTTTTCCCTCTATCTTTTCCATACATTCTTCACTTTTTTTCTGTCTTGTTTTTTGTTCTATTCTTTGTATTTTTGCTTTCTTTTTATAGTAATTTCTGCCTCTCTTATTTTTTCTTGTTGCCTTTTCTTTATTCCATCTTCTGCATACATTTTTCACTTTTTTACTATTTCTTCGTACTCTTGTTTTCTTCATAAATTTTTCACATTTTTTTCTATTTCTTAATTTCTTCTTTCACTCTTTGTACTTTTATTTTGTTCCTGTTTCTTTTTTTTGTTTCTTTGTTTTCTTTTCTTTCTTTTCATTCTTCACTTTTTTTCCTGTTTGTTATATATTACTTTCATTTTCTCTCTTTTTTTAGTAATTTCTGTATTTCTTTTTCTTTTTTTCCTTCTTGCCTTTCCTTTCTTCTCCATGCATTCTTTACTTCTTCCCTAATTCTTGATTATTTCTTTTACTCTTGTTTTCTTCTTATGGTAATTCCTGCCTTTCTTTTTTTCCCTTATTTTTCTTCTTTTGTATTCTCCATCATATACTCTTCACTTTTTTATTTCTTAGTTATTTGTTTTACTCTACGTACTCTTTTTTTTCTCATAGTAATTTCTGCCTCTATTTTTTTGTTTTTTTTTCTTTCTTCCATCTTCTCCATGCATTCTTTACTTTTTTACTATTTCTTCGTATTCTTGTTTTTTACAGTAATTACTGCCATTCATCTTTTTTTCTTGTTTTTTTATCCTGTCCATATATTTTCTGTTATCTCTATTCCTTGGTTTTTTCTTTCACTCTTCTTTCTTTTATTTTTTTATAGTAATTCCTGGTTTTTTTCTCCCTTTTGTTTTGTTTTCTTTCTTTTCTTTTACTTCTTCATCCATTTTTAAATTTTTTCTTATTGTTTGCTAATTTCTTTGAATCTTTGTACTCTTCTTTTAGTAATTCTTGTCTCTACTTTTCCTTTTATTTTCTCCTCACATTCTTAATTTTTTTCCCTATGTTTTGGTTTTTGTTTCATTCTTTGTACTCTTGTTTTCTTCTAGTAATTTTTGTCTTTTTCCATTCAACTTTTCTTATTTCATGGTTATTTCTTACTCTCTTTGTGCTCTCATTTTCTTATTATATTAGTTACTGTCCCTCTTCTTTTTTATATATAAGTTTGATGCTCTTCTTCGAATTCTTCCCTTCTTGACTTTCTTTTGCACTTCTCTCAAAATCTTAACGTTTAAAAACAGTTTGCTGTAAATGAGCTAAGAAAATAGGCGTAAATGAACTAAATTCTTATGAAGATTGTTGGTTTTAGGGTGATTGGGTGTATCCATACCGTCCTGGCGATTACGCTACTTTGACCCGAAAATATTTAGGTTCTTTGTATTGGTCAACTTTGACGTTGACCACCATCGGTGACCTGCCAACTCCCGAAACCAATGCCGAGTGAGTTTTTTGTTCTCTAGTTGTTGATTCGTTTTAAGTAATTCCCCGGTGCAGGAAGACGGACTCGGTGGATGGCCCCCGGTCCCTGCCGCGCAGAGGTGTCAAGTCCCGCCTGTTGCAGTTCAACACAAACAATGGGTACGTCCCATCCACCCCGTGTATGTGTGTATGTCTGCCGGCACCCCGCGGCAGGACTGGAGGGCTGTTCACCCTCCGAGACGTGTGTTTTTAACGCCACAAAATACAACAAACAAACTTTAAGGCCCCGCTCACAGTTCTCGAACAGCCCAGTCCTGCCGCGGCCCCCACGTCGTCTACCATCGATTTTTCCTCCTTGAACAAGGTGTTTGTCTGTTCGAAAACTATGAGTGTCTCTGACTTTTCACAATAAAAGCTTGAAATGTTCAATTGCAGATACGTTTTCACGATAGTCAGTTATCTCATCGGGGTGTTCATTTTCGCCACTATTGTAGGTGAGTCGAGTTTAGCGTTTTGTTTTGTTTTTTTTTTTGATTTCGCATTTACTGGGGTTTTTACAGGGCAAGTTGGTAATGTGATAACGAACCGGAATGCGAACCGGCTGGAGTTCGAACGGCTTCTAGACGGAGCAAAGACCTACATGAGACACCATAAGGTAAAACAAATAATTCAAGAGAATTAAGTTTATTCACGAGCCAATGGCGAGTGTGTAAATCATACAAGTGAATTATATAATCCATTTTATTTAAATTGGCATAACAGTAGGCCATGATTGTGTAAACTGCGCTTTAAATGTGAAAAAGGCTTTACATATTAAGGAACTAAATTTGTCACTAAAAAAAGTGAGGTTAAGATAGTTAAAATTTTATTTTTAAAGAACCCTATTTCAAAGGTTTTCAGAGAGAGTTTTTCTCCATAAAAAGTATCATCCCTTTGTAGCTGTATAGTTTTGACACAAAAACATACACTAATTGCTTTGAGAAAATATAGACTTTCGTTGATAAAAAGTGGCTTCCTGAAATTTTAAAATACGTTTCATTCACACCGGAGATGAAACACAATTTGTTTTCCGTGAAAGTTGCAGCCAAAAGGGGTTTGGATTTTTTCATTAAAAATGTAGGACAAAATTGTGAATTTTTAAACAATGGTAAAGTTGTTGCGATCGGAGTGGAAATCTGTACAAAATGAAGCCTCGCGTACTGAAGCTTGAAAAATCGTGTTTTGTCTTGGATAAACTAATTTGGCTAAACTCAAATTGGTATATTTGATT